TTTTTTTTTTTTTTTTTTTTTTTTGGAGTTTGTTTTTGTTTGAGCTATTGGGAGTTTTTATAGCTTGAATTGAGTTAGAGAAAGCAGCTACAAGGAATTTTAGGTGGTCTTGACCCTTTAGGATTTGTTCTTGGAGTCTATTTATTTCTTTCCTTTCTTTTAATTTCTTTTTTTATGTATAGGATTGTTGCAGGCTCTTTGAAATGGTTTGAAATTTTGGTATCTCATAGTGAATCGTTGATGCAATTTCTTTTTTAGTGAATTATGAAATATCTCAGTTAGATGCTTCATAAACCCAATTTTAAGAATTCCCATTTGGAATTGTTTTGCTTTGGTGTACATGATGATGCTTGGATTATTTACTCTGTTATAAACTTAATTCGATTCCATGTACTTTCCGACGGTTCTCTCTCTTTTCATCATATTCTTCTTCTTCTCTTAGGTGACTATACTACTTCTTTATGTTGTTGCATCAAAATTTTCATCTTGGGTTATCGGATTGTTAGGTGGCATCTTTTTCTTTTGGGGGAAAAAATCGTGTTGTTTGTATGCATTTCTGGTCTTCTTTGCAATGCAGCTACTGCTGTTGAAGGATGTTGTTTAATCATTCTATGTTATCTATTATTTCATTTTCAATGATGCTTATGTGTTTTAATTATCAAAATTGCCTTTTACTCCTTTGCAAAACTTGTTATTGAATGTTGTTCTGTAAACCCATTTTTATATGCAGAAAAGTTAATGGTAAAGCCGATATTTAATGGGAAGAACGAGGCTCTAAAAGATGAAGGTTCTGATCAGATTGCAGCACAAACAATTACATTCTCATTCCGAGAGTTGGCAGCTGCAACAAAGTATTTTAGAGCCGACTGTCTTTTAGGTGAAGGAGGTTTCGGTCAAGTATATAAAGGACGATTGGAGAGCATAAACCAGGTAGGTTTTAGTTGTTTTTTTTCTTTCATCATTGGAGTAATCATGACAATGATCGAGTTCACTACTACCTTAAACCCTAAGTCAAGTTTGTTTTCATAAGGTTAAATTTCTACTGCTCTATTTCTTTATCCATGAAGTTTTGTAACATTGGATGTCTCTGCTATCTCTGCTGCAAGGTTGAACAATCCTAAATGTTCTAACATAGTTATCTTATTCTATTGGATACATTTTGGTGGAAACCCTTTTTACCAATATTGTTGATCTCAATCCTATCAACGATGTCATTCTCTTTAAGAAAAGATGAAATTTTAGCATTGGCTATTAATCTGCATAACTGCGAACGAAGATAGCTAAGTTGGCATATTAACATTAATTTTGCACCCGTGCCGGTGCTGTTGATCTTATTGCAGCTCATATTGAATATCAAATCATTCTATAACAATGCTTTATTGGTGGCACATCTGAATTAAAACAGTTCATCCATTCTTTAGTCTGAGAAATAATTGAAACTGTCTGCGGAAATGGAGTTCTTAGCAAAAAGAATTGTTATTATGATTTCCTAGTTGCTAAAATCTTCATTCAACCTGAATTTTTTTCTTAAGAAAAATAGATTGAGCTGCACCTGTCAAACGAAATGAACTTATTTGCAAAAAATTTGTATGGACTGTAGCTGTCTAATTATCTGGGAAGTAACTTAAAGCTGTAAAATTGAGTACACACTCTCTCTCACGCACGTAAGACAGATAAAATCTAAAGAAAAGAGGAAATGGACTAAATATCCGATTTACTGCATTTGTTTGAAGGCCTTTATTTGAAACGCTGCAGGGAGGCTCTGATCCTTGTGATTTTGTTGAATACAGGTAGTTGCCATCAAGCAACTTGATCGAAATGGGCTACAAGGAAACAGGGAATTTCTCGTTGAAGTACTAATGTTAAGCCTACTCCATCATCCAAATCTTGTTAATTTAATTGGCTATTGTGCGGATGGCGATCAAAGACTCTTGGTTTATGAATACATGCCATTGGGATCGTTGGAAGACCATCTACATGGTTTGCATCTACCACAGTGTCTATTACCTTCATTTTTCAATCATCTTTCCCTTCTGCATTCTTCTTTAATCTTGTTTCTTTTGAGTTAATGACACCATCATAAAATACTTGTGCCAGATCTCCCACCCGACAAGAAACGACTTGATTGGAATATAAGAATGAAAATAGCTGCTGGTGCTGCAAAAGGCTTAGAGTACTTGCATGACAAAGCTAACCCCCCAGTTATATATCGTGATCTGAAATGCTCTAACATCCTGCTTGGTGAAAATTACCATCCTAAGCTATCCGATTTTGGCTTGGCAAAATTAGGCCCCGTGGGGGATAACACTCATGTGTCCACAAGAGTGATGGGAACGTATGGATACTGTGCTCCTGAATATGCAATGACAGGCCAGCTCACTTTAAAATCAGATGTTTATAGCTTTGGAGTTGTTCTGCTTGAAATTATTACTGGCAGAAAAGCCATTGACAATTCAAGAGCCGCAGGGGAACATAATTTGGTGGCATGGGTAGTAATCATCTCTTCCTTTTCCTCTTTAGTTATCCAGTTCATGCCTTCCGCTCTTACTTCTTTACATTAATATGCTGTTCTAAAGATCATCTTCGTGTGAAGATAATTGTGGGATCTGTAAGCTCACTTGTTTCACACATGATCCAATTACAACTTACCTATGCACACAGCACTAGGGGTGCAAGTGAAAACCGAAAAAATCGCTCAAACCCACCGAAACTGCTATTGGTTTGGGTTGAAGACAGTCTGGTTTGGCGGGTTCGGTTTCCAAATGAAGAAAACTGAAAATTCACGGTTGTTTTGGGTTTTTTTAATGATAGACTAAATATACTCGTGCCTACATATGATATTTATATCATAAAAACAAGAAGTTTATTAAGAAGCTGAACCATGATTGTGACTGCTGTCATTTGCTTGGTTGTTTATAGCTGTGACCTTCCTTATTTACTATTCTTGAAATTTTGAATTTTGTGGATCTGATATTACCTTTTTTCGTATCTATTCCATTATAAGACTATGATTTTTCTAAAGATTCCTTGGAATATTAGTTCGGATACCTGAGCTGAATCCAAGTAAATGTATAATGTGCTGCATTTCAAATACAATTTCTGCCAAATGATATGATTTGCGACATTATATATAGTTGTTTATATGTCCTGGAGTAAATAAGGGGAGGATCATCTGTTTGTTGTCCAAAAAATCTTACTTTTCTTCATCTCAGGCACAACCCTTATTTAAAGACAGAAGGAAGTTTCCACAGATGGCCGATCCATTGCTCCAAGGACAATACCCAGTCAGAGGCTTATATCAAGCTCTTGCAGTAGCTGCAATGTGTGTTCAGGAACAGCCTCATATGCGTCCCCTCATCGCCGATGTCGTCACGGCCCTCACATATCTTGCCTCCCAAAAATGCGATCCTGAAACGCAGCCAGTTCAAAGCGCCCGCAGTAGCTCGTCCACACCTAGATCTTCTAGAAGAGAACTGTGAAGTTTAAAAAAGAAGCTACCATGAAACCAAATTCTAACAATCAGACAAGTATATGAAACAAGTATCCTGGCATGTCTCGTGGTGCAGTTGCATTCCAGATAGCTCCTCTACTCTCCCCCAGGTTTTGTTCTTAGAAAAAAAATTTCAATTCTTTTGTTATAATTCTTATGATTATTCCTCACCTGTTCCAAGCCCTTTCCTTCCAGCACAAGATTCTTTATGTATGTACAATTGAGCTTGGTGCTTTTGTAGCTATATAGAAATAGGTCTTCCTGTGGATTTGCTGTTGATTCAAGCTGTGAATGTATACACTTTGAATTGCAAAAGCTTTCAAGCATTCTTACACCACCACCACCTCCGCCGCCGCCGCCGGCCGCCTATGCCTTCTGCATTTTCATTCTTTTTAGTTCTCAGCAATGAATTTGGGCAGCAATTACTCTACAAATATGCAGGCTTTAAATGTGAAGTGTTTCTGATATGGAGGGGCAGAGCCAAGAACAAATATGGAACACAATTGCTCCCTTCCTTGTTTTGTCCTCTTTTCAAATTTTATATCAACTTTTTTATTTATGGCTGTGATTCTGGTTTTTTTTTTTTTTTGA